TCATTGTCTCCAGAGTAAAATTCTCCCTCGACCTGGCATGTAAGGCCATTGGTGTAATGGTGGCCTTACTGTGCCTTTCTTCACCTGCCATGTCTTTAGGAGCTTATGGCACAAAGAGCTGCTCTGAACCAAGAGTGGATGGTGGCATGTCTCTGTGGGCATCTTTCTGAGGCTAGAATTGGGAGTGTTAGGAGCCAGAGGAAAGCCATTTCACTCTCCCCGCACGAAGAGAATGAATTAATCCAGGGGGCTGCAAAGAAAGCAGCATCTTTGGGGAAGAATCGTGTCCTCGCTCAGGAAAGAAACTGAAAATGTGCTCTGCAGGTAGCCAAGCAGTTTGCTAACTGAAGTTCTGGGACACAGAAGAGAAGGGGTCACTGGGCCTGGCAGAACTGGGTACATTTTTCAGAGCAACAAATCAATACCAAAGGATTTGGGGAAAGATGTTGAGAAGTTTGGAGGGGAATGTCTTTCAGTTTGTGCCTGGTGTTCTTTGTATCTCAGAGGTCCTGATAAATGTCTGTTGAATAATTTAGTCAAGTGCCTTTTCACTCTGTCCTATTAATATATTACTTGTTTACTGCCTCTGTGTCGGCATCTGTTTCCACTAGGCCTCTTTCTGTCTTACAAGTCAGTTCCTTCAATTTCTTAAGAAAGACCTAGAGAATGTTTACTAGATACCAGAACTTGGCGATCTGTAGTACAAATGCATGGCAACTTTATGAGAGAATAAGACACATGGAGGTGACGTACTGTCTTTTTCTTGTAGTACCCAGACTGAATAATTATGTCCTGTCAGGTCTAGCCTGGTCGAATGCGAGAGGTTCTGTGTGAAGACTGCTGTGTGGGTCTCTTCCTTCTCACACCGTGCATCACATTAATGTTTTATGTGAAGGAAAGTGATCTAATAGAGTCTCAACACTGAAGAGTAGAATTCAGCCTATAGTAGTTTCTGGACCTTGTCTCCTTCAGTTATTCTCCGCCGTACTTTGTTCAGACAGAATCATTCCTACTGAACCTCAGGCCTACTGATTCAGCTAGACTGGCTCACTAGTAAATTCTAGGAACCCACCTGTCTCCTTCCCCTCCCAAGTCCAGCGCTGGAGTTACAGGCGCATACGGCCATGCTCAGCTTTTGTATGGGTCCTGGGGATTTGAACTCAGGTCCTCAGACTTACACAGCAAGTGCTTTTTTGACATGAGCTCCAGTTACTATATACTCTAGAAAGGAATTAAATTAAGGCCAACAAGACAACTGCATGGCATAGCTCAACTAGAATGTGATTTCTTTTGTCTTTCCTAAGTAGATTAGTCTCTTGAAGCTGAATATAAGTGAAGATGTATGTGGTCTTGGAAAGACATCAGGAATTCCCAGGTTTCCTTATAGACTCTTGTTTCTCTAAACTGTACCTCGTTCCTGAGACTGTTTCCTGAGACCTGTGCACAGAAAAGACACTGGCGCTTCAGACCCAGGACGATGAAGAATCTTCATCTCGGTCTCTTACATACTTTTTACCATATTTCTTAATCACAGCACTGGTTATCTACTATGATATGTTACCTTTATCTGGAGATGCAGTCACCTTCAGAGGCATTAGGTGTTATTAACATCTTGGAAACTATGAACTGCCTAAACACTTTCTGAACTATTGCCCTTAGGTTATCGTAGGCTATCATAGCCCAGCCCTGAGTCAAACCTTTCTGATTCCAGAAACTCAAATAACTTGTTTATAGTCAGTGGCAAGTCAGTGCAGTTGAGAAGTGAATCTAGCTCTTCAGAAGACCATCCTAATCTATTCATTTTGCCTGCTAACACAAGCTGTCTGGGCACATGTGTGTTGGTCCATCTGCCCCCACTTTCTGTAAGTTGACTCAGCTTTTTTGTGGTGCCTACTCTAGTCATCACGTCTCATGTCTGACTTTCCGCCCCATCTTCCCTGAGAGTACAGTCAAAACTCTTTGCCTCTCTCTGCCAAAACTGCCCGTCCAGAAGCCCCAGGGTTTCCTTCAACCTGGGAACACTGTCAAAGGCAACAGACTCAGCTTCTCCTCGCTTTTCTAGATGTAGGGAGTCTCCAGACAAGAAGTAGCCAGAGTTCATCCCTGAATGCTGAGTTGCCCACCAAGGAGCTCATCCCGCTTCTTCAAAGACACTTCCCTCAACCTGTTCTTTCCAGTCTTCCCTCTGGTCTCACAGCTTGTTTCAGAGTTTTCTGTATTCTGTCCTTTACAATGCCCTGCAGTCGCTAGACCTTGAGCCGGTTCTTCACAGCTCCACTGCTTTCTCCACTCCCCCTCCGGTTCAGCTTGTTCTGCTCAGTTTGCCCTTCCTTTAGAAGATGTTGTGGCCTTTGTAGGGGCTGCCACCACCAGGTGGTTCTGTGCGCTTACCACCTTTCTTTCTTTACTGTGGGCTGCTTAGGATTCCGGGCATCTACATAGCCAAGGTTGTATTGCGTTCTATGCAAAACTCCAGTTGTATTTTCCGTCTTACTCTTTACAGGCTCAAGTTCTAGAACTGTGAAGCTAAGTAATGACAAAGCATCTTTGCCCCTAGATTGTTCCAGAGTCCTTCTGAATCCCCACCCCCGTCCCCATGGTAGCATAAAAATCTGTCCAGACACAGGCGGACCTTGGTCAAGAAGCATCTCTCTTCCTGTTATGTATGGTGTTAGTGCAGAGAGGTGGCCTGGCACTGGGTCAAGAGCCTGTTAGCCTAGCCTCCTTTCCAGGGGCCACAGTGAGTAAGGCAGAAGGAAACCTGTGCCAGTGAAGACCAGCCTGCACACAGCTTCTCGTACTTCACGGCCAGTCTGGGCAAAAGGGCTGAGTGTATGCTGTTAGGTGGCTAAGATTCACACTACATTTACCAGTAGGCTGTTTCCAGAATTCCTCTGGGAGCTCTCCCAGACACACCCTACTCCACAGACATAGTGAGAACAGTATAAATTTTGTTGTCTCTGCATTATTTAAATCGTGCTTGGTCATTCATTCTCATAAAATCTGGATGTGATTTATTGTTTCTGTGTTATAACTTTGCTGGTGTTTGAAATAGAAAAAAAATGTATAATCAATTAAGATATTTCTCCTCTCAATCACGTGTTAGCACATAATATTATAAATTTAGGAATGTGTTTTTCCTGCATTATGTTCAATATGAAAGGTAGAATTAATGTTTTTATTATCATTTTTAGTATTGGAGGGCTAGGATGCTGCTCAGCAGTAGAGCACATTTTTAGCATGAATGGATTCCCGAATTCCACCCCCTGAATTTTGAAGTTACTTATTTCAAAATTATAAAATTTCCTTACACAATACTTGGTAATAAAATACATTAATAAACTGAATATCTAACTAGATACTACAGAGTATGTATCTTTCTTGTGAAACTACCAGGTTCTACCTGAACAATATGGTTTATATGATGCCAAGTGCATTAGGACATCATTATGTGTTTATTTATAACGCTACACTTTTCCTAATAGTTTCTTCTGTCTTTTTCTTCTCAAATTTTAAATTTTAAGCATTTATTAGGGTGACTACATGGCCATGCATATATATTATGGACTAAGATTTTCAATGCTTAGGTTAGAAGCATTGGTTAGAGAAGCACACTTCATCTCTAAGATGATGCTTGTCACTGCATAGTTTAAGATCACATATGGCCGGGGAGGTAAGATGGTGGTGAGCACACATCCAGCATGGAGCAGGCCCTGGGCTTTCCTTCAGCACCATAGGAAAGAATAGAAGACAGTGTCGTGTGTCTGGAGTAGCCTGCAATATCTGTACAATTTTGTAATTATGTTTATTAGTATATATTTTAAAAGTACAGCATAGAGATAGCTTAACTTTTTGTTTTGTTTTGTTTGGGGTGCAGGGGGAAGGTCTAATGTAACCCTGGCTGGGCTAGAACTGGTTTTGTAGACCACGATGGCCTCCAACTCACAGATCTGCCCACCTCTGCCTTTTGAATGCTGGTATTAAAGTGGTACACCACCACACCCAGCTGGAGTGCTTTGGTTTAAAAAAAAAATTAAATATGCCCTAAGGGAAAAAAATCTTAAAGAAATTGAAATTCAAAAAACAAAACAAAAAACAGATCTGGAGACTTGTTGCACAATAATGCAAATATATGTTCCTGAACTGTCAACTTGGAAGTAGTTAAGATGGTTAATTTGAGAACATACACATATTTTCATCATCACAAACAAAGTCAGTGTAAGTGACATGAAGTTTAGAAACAATGGTTACCTTTTGCACAGTTTCGAGTTGGCACTGCAGGGAATGGGCAATGGATTGGGGTTGGAGAGTCCAGCACGGTGAATTTGGTTTCTAGCAGATGGCAGAACAGAGGGGCTGCTGATACAGGCAGTATCTAGAGCTGGGAGGCCATGCACCAGCCTCGTCCAGGAGGCTAGAAGCGAAGGCCTCCCTGCTTGCTGCGCTGGCCCTCAGTAGTTTTGTCTCCCACTGCCTCCTCAGAAGGCAGTATTGCCACCAACAGTGTGCCATTCTGGAGAATAAATGCCTGCTTCACTGCCAGCCTTCTTTGTTCTGGCCTCTGCTCACTGAGGCTGGCAGATAAGGGGGCAGAGAAATTGTTGGTTACCTACCTGCCGACGATTTCAGTTACCCACAGATAGCTGTGGTTGAGCAGATAGCTAACCTACTGGCCTCATATTTGTCTTCTCTCTTGACTTTTTTTTCTTATGAACCCTTACTCATAAAATACTTCCAAAGAGGAAATTGAAAGTTGGTTTCTGATCATACTCTAAAGAAAGCTTTTTTTTTCCCAGAGAGAACTGGGCCAGGAAACTGTCTTTAGGCCATAACCAGTTTTCCTTCCCTTACGTGTTGTGAATTATTAAAGAGTATGGAATCAGTATTCTTTCCCATTTCCAGAGAAGTACTGTTTGCTTTGGAGGCTGTAGTAGTGGACTATTTGTGGTGTGTTTTCTTTTCTTAAGTTACAGTGCTAACTTTGACCCTGTTTCCATTAGGAGATGAAAACATGGAAATTAAAAAACAAATTACAGGGATGAGAAGATTACTGAATGACAGCACTGGGAGGATATATCAACGTGTTGGCAAAGAAGGAGAAAAACTAAAAGAAGAGCCCCAGGATTTGGAGTTAGTCTGGCCTCAGCGTTTGAACTCCTCTGCCGAGGCCGCACAGGGCCTCCATCCTCCATCACGTGGGGCATGGAATGAACTACCAACCCAAAGCGGGCAGTTCTCAGGGCAGTATGGTACACGTTCTAGAACTTTCCAGAGTCAGCCCCACACCTCTGCAAGTTCCAATGGTACGATTGTCCAACGTTCAGAATATCCTTGTGGGCAGGCATCCTGGCTTGTTTTAGTCCTGAGTATTGAGTTGTTTCGAGATCAATTTATGAAAACCACCCTTTGTCACCCACCTCTCTGGGTTCTTCTCAGGTCTATATGGGACTAAGGATCTCAGACAGGATCTCACAGGGCTAGGCAAGTCTTCTCAGCAGCGGCTCCACTCTTGTGCTGGGTTATTTTAGAAGGCAGAAGGGGAAGACATAAGAGAAAATCTCGAGTGTATAAAAGCTCCAGACTTGACAGGAAAATCAGTGGGTCTGCGCTAAATAAAAGCAGGCTCCTAGTAGAGTTTTAATGAAGTAAGAATTCTTATCCACCAATCCACAGACAGTGTTGTCACCGGAGCCTGGACTTTAAAGTGGCTGCCGTTAGCGCTAATGGAAGTTTCCTGGTCGTGTTTTGTGTTAGTAACGCATGCTCCTGCTTCACTTCACTTCACTTCACTTCATCTTCGGGAGAGTCCTACTTAGAACCTCACAGCTTTACCTCTTGTAGAAGCCCTTTCCCTTACCAGCATTTCAGTGCTGGAACTCATGCTGAGAAGAATGCCTTTAAAATAGTGTTTGCCAACCTGTGGGTCGGGACCCCTGTGTGTATGGGGGGTCGAATGACCTTTTCACAGGGGCACCTAAGACCTTTGGAAAACATATGGATACTTGCATTATGATTCATAACAGTAGCAAAATTACAGTTATGAAGTAGCAACAAAATAGTTTTGTGGTTGGGGTCATCACAGCATGAGGAACTGTATTAAAGGGTTGCAGCATTAGGAAGGGTGAGAACCACCACTTTAAAGTCAGATTTCTTTAAAATCCCTGACTGTTACGTGGAGAGTGGGGTTCCAACTTTTATCAAAGCTTAACAGAACAATTGATGCTTTTCTTGGTAATATTAATTTCCCATCCAGTGACATTGGATATTTCTTGGTTTATAAATTATGTATGGATGTGCAGATCTATAGTTTACACAAAGAACAAAGGAAAAATAAGGCATTTCAGATTCCTTGAAAAGTTCAGGATTTTCTTCCCTCATGTTCATTTTATGATATATTTTGGTAAAAAGAAAAAGTTTTGATTTTTTTTTCCTTAAACACAATTCACAGTAACCAGTTCTGGGGACTGAGAAGCCATTCAGAGACACTGATGAGACAGTAAGGGACCCTAGAGATATACGGTGTCTTCTCTCCTCAGTGTTCCATAGGCAGGTATCCAGTTCACGTGCTGGCAGGCTTCCAGCCTGGAGGACGGTGCTCTTTAAAAACTCCTCCATAAAAATAAAAAGTCTGTTCTCTTTAAAATTGGAAAATGATTTATAATGAGCTGAGAAGGGCTAGTTTTGCCCTCTAAAAAATCATAAAGATAGTGCTTAGATTAGTGCCTGGGAGTATTCCGTAGCACCCTCTTAACTCTACCACCAATAAGAGAAACAGGGGGCCATGTGGGTATAGAGTAAATGTGACCCTCCCACAGCAATGATTTTTGGGTAGTATATTCTACTAACTAATATACAAGAACGTTGGGTTTATTTTAGAAATTGTTACTAATATTAAAAGTTACAAAAATTCTTCCAAATCGTAGTCAAAATAGATTGTTTGTGTCTCTTGCTTGCACCATTTCAGTAAAAATATATTATACAAGGAGCTGAAGAGAGAGCTCAAGTTGTTAAAGTGTCTGTTACGTAGTGTAGAGACCTGAGTTCAAATCCCCGAACTCACATAAAATCCAGGTGCAACTTCTGTAATTCCACACTAGCATGGTAAAGTCAGAAAGAACATATTGGCCAATCAGTCTAAGCAGATCAGTGTGTTCCAAGTTCATTGAGAGACCCTGTCTCAAAAACTGGAGAGAGTTCAAGGAAGACAACTGATACCAACCTGTGCCCTCCATACATCCACATGCGTGCGCATATGATTTATTTATGTATATGTATAGACATATATACTCACACACACACCTTGTACACATAGACATATAAAATATACAGTTGACTCTTGAGTAAAGTATATTGGAATTATGCACATCTGCCTATAGGAAGCTGTTTTGTAGAGATTTGCAACAGTTTGTGCACACTCTCAGATGGACCTCACGGTCTAGAAATAGTGAAAAAATTATGGGAAAGTTGGATATGTCATCAATGTATAAAATAGGTAGATAATATCATTTTCTACCAAAATACATACACTTCTTATTTAAAAAAAAAAGAAACAACAACCAAGATTTATTATAACTTAGGTACACAAACACTATAGACTATTCATGATGTCATTTGCAGTTAGGAGAAATTTAAACAAATGTGCATTTTTAGCTACCTCCTGTTACCACTGTGGGGTCTTCAGCTTCACTTGAGGCTATGCCCTGCACACCTCTCAGAGCTGCCCACGGATCACTAGGATACAGCTGTGCAGCCGTGTGTTTCTTTGGGGTAGCTGGCAATTCTAAAGCTGAGTCGCCTCTCTTTGCTACCATTCGAATGCTAATACTTGCTGCTGCTCCAGAAGTGACCTTTCACTCTTCTGTGGTTTTGCTGTGGTAAACTTCAGTGTCTCAAATAATGATTATTAGGAGTTAGATTATATTCAACATATGATAAAAGACATCACTGGAACAAAACCTTAGAACTTCAACTCACCTGCCTGTCAAGAACTTAAGAAGTAGCTGCCTCTTAGGCTGCCCTTGTTCATGGCAGCTAACCTGGAGCTGGAGAGGTCCAGCTGCCAAAGTTTTTTCCCAAATGCGCTGTTTTAATTCATGGACAATGGGGAAATACTTGTGCATATATAGGGAAACAGGAGAGTCGCTTTGTTAAGAAAAAAGGAGACTGGGGATGGGGGATTTTAAGAAGCAGAGTGAAGAAAAGCAACCTCTGACCCTTCGGGTCAAGTGCTGTCCCCTCCCACCCTGCCTTCTGCTTCTCCCCACCCCAGCCAGAGTGTACTGCAGAAGTCCCTGTGTATCCACAGCTCTTCGTTGTTGAAATGGCATGCCCACCAGTAAAACTGGTCTCTGTTAGGCTGGTTTGGTTCTTAATATGAACTTTGTACCTTCCATTCCAGCGGTGGTTTTCTATGACTGATACAGAGCTGGGACTCTGGCTTTGTGTCTGCTGTTTGAGAAAATAGTGTGAGGGCTGGAGAAATGGCTCAGCCATTGAAGGCTAGGCCCACAACCAAAAATATTAGAGAAAGTAGCATGAGTGTTTATCATGACTTGTCAGACTCTTGTTATCCAAGATGACCCAGCCTCACAGGCCTGCCTTGGCAGTGCACTGTGTGCCTGCGTTCACACAGACCTTGCTACCTGGGACATAGCATGCACCTTAGAAACAGAGGCTGGATAATTAGATAAAGTGAGACCCCCAAATTCAGGATGTGAAAATTACTGGGTACATTTTCTTCTGGCACAGTTTGATAATAATTGTACATACTTCAAAATGCTGTCAAAGTACATTTTTTTTCATTTTCTTTATAATTATTTTTTGCATGCTTTGGGAGTATATCATTCTTTTCTTTCATGCTTAGGAGAACTTCCAGGGGTGAATTCATCAGCTGGATCCAACTGTTGTACTTGTAACTGCCAGTCAACATTGCAGGCCATTCTCCAAGAACTCAAGACCATGAGGAAATTAATGCAGTTTCAAGCAGGTACAAAAAAATCAGCCCTCCAAATGCATCCTTTGATTGTGACTGTGTATCTGACATCTTCAGTTGTGTGCATTGTCCTTCTGTCCCACACTCCTTCCCACCCTGCTGTCTTGCTGTGCCTTTTCAAGTATTCATTTTCTCGACTTTTCAACAACCTGTTATTTGTGTCTCATTTTTTTTTTTTAGCAAATCAAACAAATTTTGTTATTGTCCCTAATACTGCTGTGAGGCTTATGCACATGAACTCAGCACACTTCATCCCATGATCTCCTGGTACTTCACAAATGCCAGTTAATTAAATTTTGGAATATCTTACGTGAGAGAGCCCTTCAGGAAACACAAGCTCCCCTGTTGAAGATGCTCAGGGCGTGAGCAAATGAAAGCGGCGGGCCACCGGCTCTGCTTGTCACTTTCCGGCTTGCTTCAGATGTCGGTGATCAGACACACCTCATATCTGTCTGGTCCCTTCACTTGAGTCTTTCTGTTCTCTTTGTCATTGGGCAAGGTGAACAACAAGGTGAACAAGGTGAACCAGGGAGTGTGTAGTTGGAGATTGAGTTCCCAGTTTCTCACTCTCTAGCTGGACGATTTCTAGGCTTCTCCGTTCTCACTTGTGAGTGGAGTGTTAATATCTAATTCACTCATGAGGTTGGGTTGTTTTTAAATGGGAAGGAGATCGCAGCAGTGAATGAGATTTTGCAAGGTAGGATGCACACCTCAAGTATTCTTTTAAAGACCCCAAAGCACTCTGTAGAGGTTTGGAAGTCAAGGTTTAGTGGCTTATTTTCCAATATTCACAATTAGTAAGGAAATTAGAATTTTTCTTTTGTTACATATGCAAAAAATAACAAATCCCTCTTGACGGGGACACTGTTGGTTGATGCTAGTGTGGGCAAGCAGGGAAGCAGCTGAGCCCTGTGGTCACAGCGCTTCTGACTCTCCTCACCCTGCTGCTCACAACGTCATCACTCAGAAAATGACTTGGTGCCAGCTGGTGCATTCTAGGAAAATGCTCACAGTCCGTGATGTGGTCAGTACTTAGACATGTCAGTCACCCACAATCACATTTTTAGAGAAGCCAAAGGGATTTCTGAGAAACATATTTTAAGGACCAAATTGGGTCTTATCCCAAGACAAAAATTAGCATTTTGTCAAGTCAGTAAGCACTTGATTCACCTGCTGCACCATGACACTCTGGGTCCTTCCCAGCCTGACAGAGGCTGCCGTCTTCTATGTAAGAGCCCCGGGAAGAAAGGTTACTCTGTTCTGTAGATGCTGTGCACAGAGAGAGAATTTGTTCGTCCTTCAGAAAATATGCATATGAAATTATAATGATTTATTTTGTTACTTAAGCTCCTTACTACTGAAATGGCAAACTACAAATTGCACCCCTGTAAATCCTTGGCTGGAGCCTTCTTAGAATCTATTAAGTAAATGCCATTTTGTCACCATGTTTTCTCTTCTGAACCTTTGCAGATTAGCGAGGCCAATGATTCCAGGGCTGTGGAGAACAAAAGGATAAACTGGATAAATGGCTCTCATTTAATTTTCTTAAACTTAGAGATTCATGTTGTGTGGGCAGATTTACTTAAGGTTTATTGCCCATGAGACGTAGATTTAAATTCTGTTTTGAAAGCTTCACCTTTATTTTGCAGGAAGACGAGGACTTAGATCAAGCAGTTGAGATCTGAGTATAGGAAGGCTGGGCTCTTCCAAGACTTGCAAGAGAAGCAAGACTCAGTAGCCCTGTCTGAACACCAAAAGCGTTTCAACCACTGAGCCTAGAAAGAGCTTGGGCCTGGGGGCTGCAGCCTAGCTGCTCCTTCTCAAGGTGTCTGGAGGCCATTTGACCCTGGGACAAGACAGACTAGCCTGGGGTGAAAATGCAGCCTTCTGCATGCTGAAATCTCTGGAGAATCCTTGCAGTGATATTGACACCCTGGCCCCACCGCTGGACATTCTGACCCACTGAGTCCAGGACAGATTCTTAAGGCCTGGAAGTACTTTTCAAAACGCCACACTACTTCTAGTGTGTAGTTAAGATCTAGAACCATGGTCATGAATAACCATATGCATAGCTAAACAAGGCTACTGTCCAGCTCGTTGCTCCCTAAACTTGGAAATTACCTTCTAGTGCAAAGATAAAAATATTTGGATCAGTATAAATATTCTTGATTTCCAGACTTACAGGAAATAAGTAAAAGGAAGTGGACTGTGTTGCTGCCCATTTAAAGGCCTGGTTTTCATGTGGCTTATGTTTATATGTTTCTTTCTGTTTAAAAGAAAAAAGGCAGGCACTCCTATGGTCTTATTTAGGAACCCATGTTGATAGAGGAAGATTTGATACAAATTGAAGCCGTATTTTCCTATTTTACTTTCCATCAGAGTGGTTGATAAGTTCTCCTTCTCAGAGTATCCCTGTGAAAAGTAAACTTGCCGTCTCGGATTCCTGAAGTATGTGTTCATTGTGAACACTTGTCATTGTACTGTTTGTCGATTTGCTAATGCACTTGACTCGCTCACAACTATGTTGTTCCTACTTCCCGTTGAACACAGTGCACTAGAGAAAGTTGACGTGCCGAGGATACTTGATGAGGAAAGAAAGACCTGGCAGGATTAAGCGACTAATGCTTCCTTTCCATGTGCTTACCCAGCCCTGTTCTAGATAGATTCCTTCCACACTGTTTCTTTCAACCAGTCTCACCCAAATGGTCATCATTCCGGCCCTTGTAGGCTATGCCTGATCAGCTGAACTCCCAGACACAGTAGAGGTTTTGCTGGAATGAGCTTCGAGAGCATGAGGATCCATACCTAAATTTACGTTCTGGAGTTCTTATTCCAACATGTCACATGATTCACGAAGCCATATTTTCCCATCGCTCTTAACTCTTTCCTTCCACCAAAGCCAGGATGCTGTAATGGTCTGATGATTCCCAGTGTTCAGAGCTCTGCTGTTAGGATGGTAAAGTGTCCCTCGCTGCCTCTGCAGCCCTTCTATCTAGCAGAGTGAGATCTGTCTATCTGTGCTTCACCCTGAGCGAGCCTCCCTTCACTGTCTGCTTGTAAATCACAGAGACAGACCCGGTAGGTTTGCCTCAGACACAGTGCCTGTACCGTGTTTGTGTTTATTGTCCACAGTTGGAACACAACACAGACAACAACCCCCAATTTCCCTTATATGCTCCCAGCGAACCGCTGTCTCACGCAAGAGAAATAAGAAGAAAAAGGTGCTCCCAAAGACTGTGGAACCCGTGACTGTGAAACCAAAGCCCGGCCCATTGGAAACTGAGAAGAAGCCAGCAGCCGTGGCCACCAGGCCATCTGGTCTCCAAGCCACAGAGCACACCTCCAGTGAGGAGCGCCACGTCCTGGGATTTGGCATTGTTCTCGAATCGCCTTCCTCAGATGTAAGTCGATATATTTTCTGGCTGCCGACCTAGCTGATAGAAGTCTTAGGAAGCTTATAGTATTAAAGACACCTCCTATCTAGCTAGTTCTGCCCCAAACAGGTAGAGACACTTGGAGGAATGCAGTGGGGGAGAGGGAGAGAGACTAGTCAGAAGCCCCTTGCCTGGGCTTCCTTCTCTGAGAAGTGTAGATGTGCCTCCCTTATTCAACGGCATTCTGTCCATTATCTCCGAAAGAAGGCTGTGCCGTAAATAATCTGCTCGCTAATTTCTTTAAGATTTTTAATTTCCACATGGCAGTTTTCAATTTCCTCAGTGTAGAAAACTAAAAGAACATAATTAAATCCTTTGTGGATGGGCATAAATGAACACAGAAGCACACAGATAAGGTCATACCTTTGAGGAAACACAAACTAAGAATAAAAAGGAGCAGTGGTGCTAATTCTGTTTTATACATGCAAGCCACACTGCTAATTAGGTGGCAGTGTCATGCCATTTACTCCGTGTAATGATAGGTTAACGCTCTGCAAAGGTTTGCTATTTTAATATCATAGCTAGAGTGTTGTTGCGGTCTAGGATGGTAGATTGCATCTGAGCTATCCTTCTGACTTGCTGTTTTATATTCATGGAACTATAAATGAATTTCTGTCATAATGTGCTGAATTTGCAGCTGCAGTCTCTACTTACAATGTCTTTAACTAAAGTACATTTATGTTGAGAACCCCTACTTGTTGGCAGAGTTCTTAAAATAAACAAGAAAAAGTGATTCATTATTAGCAGATTGCATAGGATGAGGCTCCTGCTGAGAACTCCCACAGAGTCCTATAGGATTGGAATTTGGCCTTGCTTTCTAAACTTTAACTAAGAAACAAATTGCTAATTTTTAAAAGTAGTCTATTTGAATTATAGGAAGACAGTTTGCTACCATAGATCCACATTTGAGTCTTTAATGAAGAGATGCAATGAAAATAATTATCTTGCTATGTTTTCATATTAGAAAATCCGTAGCACTTCCATGCAATTCTCAGTGTTAAAAGAGGCATTTTGTTTTCATCGTAAGTATATGCTACAACCATTAAGTTCTTCTAAATTAATATTTAATACAAAGTCCTTTGTGGTAATGAGGTTCTGTATGGGGCCAGTTCCCTCATTTGATGGTATCATGTCATCACTGCAGCTAAGGCCTGGGCCAAGTCCTAGTAAATCACATATTTGAAAACAGGAATATTATTCCACAAAATACAGTGAAGCTGTTTTTGACACACTCGCATATTTTCCGTAAATTTCTTTTCTGATAGGCACTGATATAGTAGCAGCAGTAATTGAGACTGGGTCATCTCCTATGTGGGTGCGTCTAGTGCCATTAAAAACAGAACTTTCCCTTTTTTATTGTTAAGTTCCAAGTGTATTTTAACTATAGATGGAGGTCGGGTAAAGACCCTGTGTATATTTACAAAATAAAATAGAGTATTTATTATTTTTCCCAACATCAGTATTGTTTATGTAATACATAAAAACAATTTACATTTTATTCATGGCCATTTTTAGTAACAGGAGCTACTAAATTTGATTAAGCGCATGCGTGAAAACTCAGGTATTAATTGTCTTTGGACAACAGCGTGATTCTGAAGCAAAGCAGGACAGCTATGAGGACATTGTCCCCACAGGGCTCATCCAATAGCACTGTTTAGTTGATCTCTGCAATGGAAACGGAGCCTGTACCAGGAGAACTTGGCCGCGAAAATGCTGTCCATGGATGGTGCTCATAGGCATTCATCTGTGAGGCTGGCCTGCGCAGTTCCTGGGTTGAGTGGTGGGGCTTGAATCCCCCCAAGCAGATGCTATGTGCTAAAGTAACCAACTAAGGTCCCTTCCTAATCTTTTACTATTTCTTAGCTATGAGACTATAAAGTTTTTAATGGAAGTATAGAGAAAATAAATCTTGTAATTTTTATAGCAATTATTCTATAAAACAAGTTGGGGAAAATACAAGGAGATAGGAATTTATTTAAAATGACCTCTGAAAAGTCCTCAGTGTTCAGAGGACCAAGGCCAAAGTCATGGCACAGGGCATTTTGTCCCTTGTTTCTAGAATAGCTGATTGATTGGAAAAGTAGAATGCTTCCAGGAGTGAAACCTTGATGTGGTGCATGAGATACCTTCTGTTTTCCCCTTGGGGGCAGTAGGGAGTCAGTGCGAGTTCCGTGTAGAGCCACAGTCCGCCCCTTGAAGTGGGGTGGCTGGAGTCACATTATGGACGACAGACAGCTGAAGAAAGGAGATACTAGAGCCGTGACTCTCAGCTTTGGCTCATGACCCCTTGGGAGGTTGAATGAGCCTTTCACAGGGTTCAACTAAGACTATCAGAAAACACAGATATTTGTGTTATGATTCATAACAGTAGCAAAATTACAGTTATGAAGTAGCAACAAAAATAATTTTATAGTTGGGGTGATCACAACATGATGAATTGTATAGAAGATTTGTAGATTTAGGAAGGTTCAGAACCACTGGTCTAGAGTTTGGGCCAAGAGGAAGAAGATCCCTATAGTTAGCCAGGCAAGAGCAATAAACCTGAAAGTGAAGTGAGGGCCTTTGCAGAAAGACTTGGTTGCTGAAGGCAAAAGCAAACCCTGATCTTTGTCTTGGGAAGTGGGGGAGGGGACTGTTTTATCAGCAGCTTTACCCAAGGCAGGAAGAACAAGCACAAAGCTGGCTTTCTGTTCTGGATAGGAAGGAAAAGACAGTTTAGTGTTCTCGAATATTTAGGCCCTGTAGCGCAGGAGAAAGATTAGCATTAAGCATCACAGCTCTACTAATTGCTAAATTTTAAAAAAATACTGATTTATTTTTGAAGATTTACAATGTAATAAGTCATCACTCAGAAGATGCCAGTTCCCTAGTGATCCACGACCCACATGAACTCTTACATTTGGGTTTGTGCTACGAATACACACAGTCGCATTCGTGTTGGGTTTTTTTTTTCATTATTTTCGTGATTTTATATCTTTTTCCAGATCCTCAAGAGCAGGTCCTATATTATGAGTAATAATACTCATGTGACATCCTGTGTGAAATAAGTCATCTCATTTAATCCTTACTCTTGGAGAGCTTCTTACTGTTATCCTCTTTAGGGAACCTGCGCAAGAGGGCAGGTCAGAGGTCCAGCTGCCCTCCCCCCTTGTTCACTGTGGAGAAGGCTATGGGTACCCATTCAAGTATACTCCCTTCTTTCAATTTTTAATTTTTTAATGAGTATTTTGTTTTCGTGTATGTGTGTGCACCCTGTGCATGCCTGGTGCCCATGGAGGCCAGAAGAAACTGTTGGCTCCCTGAATTGGAGTTACAGATGGTTGTGAACCTCCACGTTGAGCCCCAGTCCTCTGGAAAAGCATCCAGTGTTCTTCTCCAGCCCTCAAGCACATTTCCTGGACATCGCAAGCACTCGTAACTCTATGACTGATTATTATATGAGAGAGAACCAAGTGATTAGACTGAGTTTTTTAAAATTCTGTTTACTTGGCACTTTCTTAGGGGGAACGTAAGTGGTTAACGGACAGGCTGCTTACTTAGGGTCTCAGCTGTGTGACCCTGAGCAAGCGAACCCTGGTCCTCACTCATCATCCTCCCTATAATGGAGATAATGATGCTTTCCTCACAGAGTTGGCCTCCTGAAAGAATTAATGAAGCCTTCTATGTAAAGCACTTAGACCAGTGCCTTGCACATTTTAAGCACTCAATAAATAATGGTTCTTTTTTTAACCTTACTGTTTCTACCTAAGTACCTTTAGAGGAACAAATGTAAATACAGTTAAGTAAATTTAGCTGTCTGTAAATGATCAGATGCACATGAACAAATAACGCTTTGGAGGAGAAAACTGCTAAGGGGTGGGGGCTTCACGTGTGCAGCGTGGTTATTTGACCCTTTTAAAATTAGCACGTAAATAGAATTCAGACCTAAATTACACAGAGGCAAAACCCAAAACCAATTCTGAGGTTCAAATACATTATCTAATTCTCTTTTCCTGAATCCACAGCGCAATGCACTATTAGTACCGAGACAAACGGTTGCTCATTTCGTATAGCTACTGCTTTTCCATGCTGGGTCTGTTGATGTGTTGTTTCTTAGGGCAGGTGTGCCTGAGCCACCTTAGCATTCTTTCTGTTGATGCTGACTTCTCCTTTGTTTTGTCTGCTCTGCTTTATTGAACCACTAAAGCAAGCTTTAAAACGATTTCATAAATTTTAATCGTATAGAAAATGTTTTCATCTGATGGGGTTATTATAAATACTCTCCAGCTTTCTCCCTCCTTCTGCTCCTGTTCTTGCCCAGAGACCGCTGCACCTCCGTGCAATAAACCTCCCACATGAAAGTCAATAAATAGTAGATACTCTCCAGTAACTCTAGATTGCCAAATTTCTAAGTTAACAGAAGAAAAATGATGACTATTCATCAGTTTAAGATAATTTGGCTAATCCTGATTTTGTATGCTTCTTAAATAAGTGCATTGGTGCCATCAACAAAAATGGCTCCTTAATTCAGAGTGCTTTCTGGATACCATATTATCTCAATAGATAAAATGTTCTGCTAGGATCAATTAAGGAGAATCATTATTCCATTTCCTCATTGACACAAAAACATGTGTGTGTGAGAGCCTAAGTTTCTGTGGCAGGCTACGTGGGTTCAAACCCTTGCCTCATCATGTTAGTTGGATGGTCTTTTAACAAGTTACTCAGTTTCCCTGGGCCTTGGAATAATGATGGTAGCCACTTCACAGAAGAAGAAAATTTAGAAAATTGATGTATTCTTTGTTATTCTAGGGCAACCGTACTCAAGGTTGTTGGCCTGGCTGTAGAACAACCCTTTCACAGGGGTCTTATATCAGATATCCTGCCTATCAGATATTTACATTACAATTTATAACAGTAGCAAAATTATAGTTATGGAGTAGCAATGAAATAATGCTGTGGTGGGTGGGTCACCACATGAGGAACTGATT